TTCTTTCTACATGGGAGAATGAAATGGGCGAGCTTTGGCGAACGCTCTCGGTCCTCTCCTCCCACAGAGAACGTGAGGCATCAGAAAATATAGTGGTCTTGTAACCTTCTAACATACTTAAAGCTTGATGAATGGAACTTCGGTGAGTTCTTACCAGTGAATAGATATCTTTGAAAAATGCACGACTGTAATCTCAACGGAATGATCATTGATCTTGAAGACAAATAGTGATGTGGAAATTAAACCAGTGGGAGTCGTACTCGCGTGAGGGAAGAAGTATGAGGAAGTGGATGACATTAAAGGTCACCTGCTAAAGCACATCTGAATACATGGAGGCAATTTCCATGTCATTGATTGTCAGCTTCCCGTTGAACTTAGAGGGACGTATTGAGTTCCTTGTTGTGCTTGCCATTCTTGACCTTTGAGCATCTCCTTGTTGCTGAAGCTGCCACTAATATCCCCAAAGAGAACTATGGAAAATCCAAACATGCAGAAAAAAACCAGTGTCACTTGCATAAACATAATTTCAAATTTCACCTTATAGTGACTTCTCTGAGCCACCTGCTTCTTTTTATTCAATGCCATCCCCTTACTCTTAAAGGAAGAGTATCGCTCTTGGTTCATGGTGCCCCCCCCCCCCCCCCCCCCCCCCCCCCCAGGGGCAGAGGGAGGACACGATGTTGTAAAGTGCTCCAATGTTGCTTCATTTCCCCGTTTTAATTGGGCTATCTAAATGCATCCTCGGTTTGTCAATACCCGCCGGGGTCCCAGATAAAAATGATTTGTCTCACGCATTCGGCGGCATGCTCCACCGTTCCCCTTCGAGAGTGCGCCCTGCCAGTTGACAGCAACAGAGTGTAATGGAGAGTGCTCATTGTTTTTGGTTTTCAATGAGAACAAGGAATAGAGGTCCCGTCTCCATCGCTTCCACTGCTCTCATCTTACCCTCTTCTTGAGCTCTCCTTCTGCCTGGAACTAACAAGTCCATGTGGGCATGCAGGTACACCCACTTCTTCTGCAGACACCTTTAGAGGGAGTACTTCAAAATCCATATGCTTCATATACATGCACCGTATCTTTACAGGCATGCACACATATGCTGGTTCTCACTGAAGGTCAGAACCATTAAATCACAGTCTTATCTGGGTTTTATGTCCCCACACACACACACACACACACACACACACAAACACACACACACACACACACACACACACACACACACACACACACACACAAACACACACACACACACACACACACGCTGTCCTTTGCGCTTTTTTTATTCTTCCTGTCACTTTGTACCACCACCTTTTTCCCAGTGCAGTGTTATCTGCAGACAGCCCTGAAAAAATAAAAATAAAACATCAGTATGTCCTTGACAAATGTTAGCCAATGTTCACAAGCTTCACGTTTAGTAAAGATACAGTTGTGCATCCATGATGACCAATTTTATGTTTAACTTTATGGAAGTGCAGCACATTTTAATGTCTTAGGTCATAGTGTTGGATCTGAAATGGTTAGAAGCCCTTTTCCAAGTCAGGAATGACGTCCTGCCTCAAGTCGAGGAGTTTAAGTATCTCGGGGTCGAGTGAGGGAAAGATGGCGGATTGGTGCTGTGTCTACAGTGATGCAGGCGTTGTACCGATCTGTCGTGGTGAAGAGAGAGGTGCGCCGGAACGTCCTGCACAGTACCCCTGTGAGTCGCAGTAATCAGGATCTCAGTACCAGCTTAAGTGTTGCGTTTTAAATTTGAAAATAAGCTCAACCCCATGCGTGTGAATTGGAATATATTCTGTGTTTCGCACAAATTCTAACTGCAGGAAATTAGCCAACAAACTAGTGTTGGTAACCAAGTGTCGGTACGTTGCAAATTGCTTGGGAATGTTAAACTAACAGGTGCTGCCCAGCTGTGCTTCTGGACGTGATGACATAGTGCTGCTCTGAAGAGCCTATCAGCACCAGCAGCAACACACTGACTTTCACAGCTCAGTGTTTATGACACAGGTCAGCATTTTTCCGATGGCACGCAGCCAGTAATGTGTTTGAGTGTCCCCTGCAAACGAAGGATGTAATGCACAACTGTTTGCATTTCTTCGTGAGGATTTTTGGAATTACTTTATTTTAGGTAATGCATCAGATTTAGAGATTTGGATTCAGACAGCTGTAAACTGCAGCGTTTCTATTAGAAAACAAAATAAAGAGCATTTTTTTCTAATACGAGGATCATTGGCATCATTGATGCTCTGTTGAATTGACGACGAGTTACTTATTTTCCTACCTGGAAGCTTAACCTTGTTAAATGCTTTAGCAGGCATGCAGCAGACGGTTATATTGATAAAGCCCAGGGCCAGGGTGATTCATTCCGTCCTACAGCGGCCAGCATCTTACCTACCTGATGACTAAAGCAACCACACAGGAGCTGAGTTTCAGTGGTTTCATTCATGCATTCTTTAACCCCGAAGCTTCACCACGAACTTTTTATTTTCAGAAAATTACAACAAAATAAAAATGCAACAGAATCCTGATTTTACTACAGTTATGAGACACAGACAGATTCAGAGTCCTCAGGTTTGTGAAGTGTAATGAATTGAGTGGGGGATGGTTCCCTGGTATGAATTCTCAGACTCAGTTGGGGTGGGGTGGGGTGAGGGTAACTCCATTCAAGCTCTTAAGGGGGTGGGGCAAACTCGAGGTCTTTAAACTGCCTGAGCTGCAAAACCTCCCTTAAGGCAACAGTTTAAAACTCGCATAGAGCAGTTACAGCTCAAGACCCATCTGTGTTTTTTGAGTTTTACATTTCACTAAAATGGGATTACACTTGAAATGAATTGGTTACGTTGTGCAGCCGACTCCATTTACCTCCCACTTTGCTGCTAGGACCACGAGCCAATAATCTACTTCCATCTATCATCAAATCCAGGTTTTGTTCCGAGTTTTTCATCTTCGATTCATGTGACATTTGGGCTGGCACAAACTGTTTACACCCACCAATATACTTTTTCCCTCTCGTCAGGAGCGTGTGGGTGTAATCATTATTCGCCAGCAGATTTCCTCAAACTCTTATGAGTTTCTAATGAACTGAGAGGCTTACAAAACGTCCAGAGTGAATATTCCTTCTTTTGCAGAAAGCTGCAGCACAGAAAGAACAAAGTTTATGTCTGCTGCTTTCTCAATATCCCATTTCTTTCTAGAGATTATTGCAATGCGTACGACATGAATATATTTTCTATTTTAGGCTGTTAGGAATTGAATTACTTTTTAATCAGATAACCCACTTCCCATTTTCTCCTAACTTGAAAGAATGTTAAAGAGGAAACAATTTGTTCTCTCTTCTTATTGAAAAGTCTGTTTTGTTCACAGATCTCGAGCGTCCGACACAACCAGACTATGCCCTATTGTTATCAAAACAGAGGAATATAGAACGCACTTCTCTCAGCAGCATTTAAGCAGGAACAGGAACAACAATGCTGCTTTTAGTGGAGGCCTTCGAATCTTTTTGGACTCTTTTGTTATGGTAATCTGTTGGAGTTGCTTTTTCGTATAGGTTAGCACTTGGTAGTAGTGATGCAACCCTGTTGTTTTTTCGGCATATACCAGTGAAGATATGTGTAATATTTTATTAATAATGCAATACTATGTTATATAGTGCTTCATTCTGAGATATTTGTCTCAGCTAAGATGGTTTGCCGTATCAGCAGTGTCACTAATATGAAAAAACATCATTTTGTGGAGGGTGAAACACAGTTGAAGCATTGCTCATTGAGTCAAGTTACAGTCCATGCGGTGTTATGTGGGATAAATGAGGAAAACTCTCCCCGAGGTCCTGAGACTCTGTGATCTATTAAGGCGCAGTTGTCTCGGATGGTGCATCTCGGAGCGCTGGGGAATTTGGGAGGGGGGGAGAATTGTTGTGCTGACATCCTCCTTACGGTGCAATCCCTTGTCCTTGTAGGACGGAAGAGAAAAACGGCACCAGAGGCTGACTTGGCTGTTCCTCTGAGCTCTGTCATAAATCCGACTGAACATTTCTGAACATCTGTTGTGGATGATTAGCTCCATGGCTAGCAGAGTTTGACCAGAGGGAATGAGAAACAGTGTGTTTGTGGAAATGGTTTGCATGCAACTAAAGCCTCGTAGATGTGGATTATGCATATTAAACCCCACCACCCCACCCACCCACCCACACACACACACACATTATTATTTTTCTGTAAAAGCAGAAATGCTACATTATTTTCCAGTCTTGTTGCTAAACATATATTAGCATACTCCCCTAGAATGTTTATACACTCCAAGGTCGTGTTTACTAAGCAGATACCCCCCTCCCCAGCCTTTTATTCTAACCTTAAGGACAATTAATAGTTAATATTGGGAACATTAGTAAAGGGACCCCTTGTTTGTTAATGCTTTATAATGCACTAAAAATGTTAATAAAGGGACCCTTTATTTATTAATGCTTAATAATGCACTAAATAACATTAATAAAGGGACCCTTTGTTTATTAATGCTTAACAATGTGGTAAGTAACAGTAATAAAGGGACCTTTTATTTATTAATACTTAATAATGAATTAAGCAACTTTTTAAAGGGACCCTTTGTTTATTAATTCTTAACAATGCACTAATTAACGGTTATAAAGGGACCTTTTGTTTATTAATGCTTAATAATGCTCTAAATAATATTAATAAAGGGACCCTTTGTGTTTTAATGCTTAATAATGCACTAAGTAACATTAATAAAGGGGCCCTTTGTTTATTAATGCTTAATAATGTACTAAGTAACATTAATAAAGGTACCCATTGGTTGTTAATGCTTACTTGTGTACTAAGTAACATGTTTATTAATACTTAATAATGCACTAAATAACGTTACTAAAGGGACCCTTTGCATTTTAATGCTTAATAATGCACTAGTGTCCACCCTGGGACTGGGTGATCGGAGCTCAAGTCCCGGTCGGGTCATATTACAGACTCTATGTACTCTTCCTGCTTGACACTCAGCTTTAGGGGTTAGATTGGGGGGGTTAAACCACCAAATAGTTCCTGAGCACAGCCACAGCTGCAGCTCACTACTCCCCACGGGGATGGGTCAAATGCAGAGGACAATTTCCACCACACCACACCAGTGTGTGCGACAACTATGGCATTTTAATCTTTAAAGTAATGCCAATATAGGGACCCATATTGTGAAGTGTTGTTACCAGAGGGTTTCACTTAGAGGGGAGTAGAGGGGACATTTTTGCCGGGTTTATTATTAACCTGAATAAGCAAACTCCTCTGGAACAATAGATAATGGAGTCTGCACATAACATCACGTGTACCTTCACTTTTTCTTTTTTTTTTCTACATTCAGGTAAACCATAACTGTCTCTTATTGGTCAGTGTTCAGATAGGTAAGACCTCACAGCCTCCTCCTTTCTACTGAAATCTGACACCAGTGACATCACATGGGTGGGTTTGGCTTCCCCCGGGCAGTCAGTGAGTGAACACCCGCTCAGTGTGTGAACAAGCTTTGACTCAGAAGGATCTCTCCCCAAGCTGCATGGCTCTACTGACACAGCTGGAAACTTAATGCAGGAGAACCAAGACGGTTGTTTTGGTTTAATGAAACGCCGTGGATGGAATATCTGAGGAAGAATTGGGGTCTACTTTCTATCTTTTTTTATATTTAAGACATCACTCAGGGATAATCTTTTATGGATACTTCTGGATTTCCTTTTGTAGGATTTGGATACCCGCTCTTTGTGGAATAAGTGCCTTGAAATAAAAATAAAAGGAATGAAAAGGATTTCTTTTTAAGTGGATCTACTTGACATGCATAGGTAAGATGAAAGAAGTTATTGCTTTTGGAACAAGTGAGGCACAGGTGCATTTTTCTAAACCGCCTGACCTCTTTAAGGTGGCCTGAACTTTTTATTCCCCAGACATCCCAGATCCGGCTTGTGTTGTTTCACAACTTGGCTTTTCTAATGAAAGTAGCAAAATAAGTTGATGTGTTACACTTGAGTAGTCAGGTATTTTCTTACTCTTTTGTCTGCGTTAACTTTTGTGCTTGCTCACTCTTGCTTGTGAAGCCAAAACAATAGTTTAACCTCGTCCTGCCTCAGCTGTATTGGCTGGCTCCCTGGCAAATTGCCCTGTCTGGTGCGAGCCCTCCCCTACTTATTCACAGGACTTTGAATAGAAGGGCCATGGAACGTCCCCTAGCTACCGCTGCTAAGGTGAGGCGCCCTGCCGTTACACTGCATTAGGCCTTACTCTGAGGCCAAACAACCTGTTTTTCCAGTTGTCTTTATCTCCGCGGGCAATCTGGAGGGTAAAATTTCAGCTAGACGAATTCCACCAAGGTGGAGACACTGAAAAGCTTTGAAATCCTAGATAATTGTAAAAGAGAACTTTTGGAGGTCATGAATTATGACTTTTTATGAAGTCAGTTGGGGCCTTGCCTCTGTCTCTGCAGGCTAGATCCTGTATTAGATGTCTATTTTGTCTGATTTATTGTATTTAGTTATATTTTGTAGATTTAATCTACTTGTATGTACTCCCATAAGAAACTTTTGGGTATCGTTTTTTTCCAGCTCAGAAATAATGTGGCAATTGTTTCCTAGTAAGGTTGTTGCTCAATACAAAGAGACTGTGAGAACATATCTATTTTTTTTTCCTGTCTTGCTCTTTTCCACCAAAGCTGCCTTAAGCTTTCTAAAAAAAACTGTGGACAACATGCTTTTTGGTTTGTTTGCCCTTTTAAAAAAGCTACCCTTCCCCATAGGTTTTAGTACTGTGGTGAAAACACATTTTATTCTTAAATTTCCAATTTAAATAAGCGATGCATTTTATTCTTTAGGTTCTAGTTAATGATTCTCATCCTTGTTTGTATTTAAAACAAACTGGTAACCAAGGTGAGGTTAAAGTTACTGTGTGTATTTTCCCTGGCAATAGGGAGTCTTCTCCCCTTCCAGTCGGCTCATGGGTCCCTGGAAGAACAAAAAAACGAATGCAGGTCAATGGGGCTAAAAGATCTGTTTTCTAAAATTCACGCATATCATATGTGAAATCCACGGCACATAACAAGCAGAATTACAAAATAGCATTTCTAGCCCCATTGACTTGCATTCACTTTTTTGTTCTTCCGGGGACCCAAGTAGATGGGCATGTCTTAGGCTCCCTATAAGGGGCATTACATACATATCTAAATCATTGCAAGCAAGCAGTGTTTCTGCGTTGGTGTGGAGACACGTGACGCCATTATCCATCCTTGTGAGGAGTCGAGCCCACTTTTCAAAACATCCGTCGAGCGAGACTGAGAAAGCAGGCTTGTGATTGGTCAGGACACCGCTTTCATCAACAGTGCTGCCATTACGCCCTCTAAAACATAAAGAGTTGAAGATATCCAGCGACAGACACGGAGCAGGTTGAAGAATAGCTCATGGAAAAACTCTAAAAGTATGAAAGTTTTATTCGCCCGTGACTGGATGAGTATAAAGATACACAGCCAGCGTTTTGTTCATGGATGGAAATCACTGGAAACATGGGTTTAGAGGTGGTGAGCGCATGAAAAAGTGGAGGAAAATGAGAGACAAATTTGTCCCTGTTAAAAGAATCTCTGCAATACAAAAAACACAATATAAATAAAGTGGTGAATGCACCATCTTTGACTGGATACGTGACAGGATACCCCAGAACAGCGCTACGCCCTCTGTTGTCCTGGTGAGGAATAGCTTTGCAACACTCTCCAGGAGACAGAGAGGTCAGAGATCAAAACGTCTGTGTCCATGCGTGTGCGTCTCTCCCTCGTGGAGCTGACGCTAGGCATACGCTAGGCTTAAGAGCTTATTAGCGGATGACCGTTAGGGTAAAAAATCACTGGTACTTTGGCAGATCATTCAGCCTGCAAAATAACAAGCACATCAATCTCATTCATCACTTGCAACAAGCAAAGAGGCAAATGTGCAAAACAATGTTTATGAATGGCAAAGTTTTGTAATCGCCTGTTACAAATTGGTAAATACATTTTGTCGTCAAGAGCTCACATAGAAGAGAACATTGTGGCGTCGCCCAGAGATGTAGACTCACTCCCATGTATTTTAGACCCGATTTTTATGGTCACTTGTTACAACTGGGCATCATTTATTCGCATTTTGATGGATATCTCCAGACATTAATGGTAAAACCTACACATTGTCGCAAAAAAGTAAAATAAAATTAAGATGGAAGGTACTTTTAATGTGACTGTTCAGCTGCTCAGTGGCAAAAACAAACATCAGATTAAAAAAAAAAGGTCTGCTGTGGTCATTTGTGCAAACAAAGATGCAAGCCTGCACTGCGTGACCCTAGGTTGTACCTCTAGGTTGTACCTCCTACAAACCCCTCATTCCAGTTTCACTACTGATTCTCTTGTCACTGCTTCACAGAGGCATAGCTGGAGCCAGATTTTACCTGAAACAGCTACAGCCACCTGATTATTAGACAAACAATATCCTCCTCTTAAAGTCTTGTCTTTCTGGAAGAAGAGCCTCAGTCAGTTAAACGCCTCCCATTCACCACCACCATTGGATTCCTTGGATTTAATTAAGATCTTCCAAAATGGATTTTCCCATAGAACTTGATTTCTCATCATCAATGATTTGGCTGATGCAACAGCCTGTTAAAGCATGATGGATCTGGTCAATCGCAACTGACACATGGTAGAAGTCGCTTACAGTTACAGATCAATGTCCGTGAAGGCGACCGTGCCATTTGAGTCAGACATTTGTCCACGACACGTTCTGTAAGTGAAAGCCCTCAGTCTCTGTCGGATTAATAAAGTTCAAAGCCTTGATGCAGAACGATGGGGCGTTGACTTTAAAAGGACTGCACTGGGGGGGATTTATGGTTTGCTGTGTCAGGAATGGTTTTTTGATGTTGACAAGGTCATAGGCAGTTGTTTTACGATGACAAGGGCTAATTGTCAAACTGGCGATCTGCGTTAAATAAGATGTTTACACAGCTTTATACGAGCGTGCTAGATACATCATATGTAATGTGCGATGTCAATCAGCGGCCACTGCTGTGTGATGTGTCGCTGGTGCTGATCGTCACTTTCTGGTTCCATTTGTGACACTCCTTCTCTTTCATCAGGCCTTTCATTCATTTGGACGGGTGCTGACGAGAAGGTCGAGGGGAAAAAAGGCCATCTTTACCACCACAATCGTCAGTATTTTGACAAGATTTCTTTTCTCAGCTGCCCCAAGCAGAGAGCTTGTTTGATTAAACTAGGTCTGCGTCTCTCCTTTGACTTCTGCACAAGCTTGCAAAACACATCTCAGGGTTCTGACACCAGATCAAATCAAAATTAGAAAACAGGTTTATTTTCGGTGAGGTGGTGTTATTTTTGTTTTCTTTAAGTGGGAACGTACCTCCGTGTGTGTGTGTGTGTGTGTGTGTGTGTGTGTGTAGCCCGACAGCTCCAGCTCACCGTCTCTTTAAAGCAGCTGTACATTTTCAGCCCTGTTGTTTTTCTCCCTGTGCCTTTTTGATATATCACGGTGCATTCTTCATCGCTAACGCATCCTTTATGGCCAGTTACAGCACGCCATCAGAGGTCTTTTTTGTGCTCGTAGCCTTGCACCTTTCATTTAAATCGTAACTCTGCAGGTTATAGCTACAAGCCCCTCAAAGGGAACACAAATCCGCTTTGTCAGGGAGGACATTTCCCTTCTTGCACAAAACTCATTTCAATTCCACATCATCCCATTACACCTCCACATTGATTGAAGCTGCCTCCGTTTCCAGAGGCAGCTGAATTTTTTGTGCTCCTAAAGTATGATATGGCTTATGTTTTTTTCATACTTGATCTGTGCAGAGGTGCAGGTTGGAAACATACCGCGACCACAGAGATCTGTATTTTGCTATAATTACAGCTTTTCCCTGAAAAACTGGTAACTGTTATTGTTCTGTTTGATTTGATCCTGTTTTGTATGCTATACATTAGGACTGGACGATCATCAATCGATAGACATGTGGTGCAATAGAAAAAAGAATGGGTCGATAAAACTTCGATAAAAAAGTTTCCTGTTTTCATTTTAACTTATCAGGTAGCAGCACACTAGACTCACTACTTACTCCTAACCAATCAAAACCACTGACTCGGGCACGCTACTTCACCTGGCCCTCCCCTTCTCAAGCCAAAATGGAGCGTAATGGGCTCGACACATGGGAGGCGACATCGCCTCTCCTCCATTCATTTTCAATGAGACATGCGCGACAAAGCGATAATCGCGGGTCTCCCTCCTACCAAGCGAAATGCGAAAAACGTGTGTGTGAAATTTTGCGCTCGTGCACGTGTCGTGCACCGGCGACCCAGCAACGCGTTCCCAGAAAGTTGAAATATTTTCAACTTTTCATCGCTGTCGCTCAGACGAGGACCAATCAACGGAGGTTTCATTCACTGACCAATGAGCGGACAGGATGCTCCGTACACCTCCGAGCAAACATGGAGGAGAAGTTGATTATTATTATGTTTTATATAGTAAAATCAGAAGTAAGATTTCACATAACTCTAGCAGCAACTTGTGAAACATCATATCTATCGCTTTTTTAACTCTGAACCGCTTAAATAACCTTAATTCCCTCCAACCTGACACAGCCAAACAAAACAACGGAAGTTTCGATTTCGCCATGGAACAGAACGCGTAGACGGCTTTGCCACTGGCCGCTGCCGCGGATCGCCTCCCGTGTGTCAGGTAATAAAAGCGATGGCGACAAATTTTGCTGATCGCCGTCGTTTGTCGTCTCCCGTGTGTCGAGCCCATAAGGCAGCAGGATGTCTCAGCGAGAAGAGGCGGAGCCAATATATAAATACCATGCAGTCAATGCTTCCAGTGTGAAGTAGGGGTGGACTTGGTATTTAGTGGCAGTAAAACCAAACCAAAAGCTTGGCTTAATCTATTTTTCGTTCTGAATTATCATCAATCATCTGATTTATACCAGCACCCTTGTTTGCTCAGACCCAGTTTCTCCAAATGCCACGCTAAAACCTGACATTCTACTTCATTACTTCACCAGCCCTTCTGCCTCCTCCTTTGTCAGCTCACTTTTTATATTTCTAATGAAATAATAGGCCTGTGTAAGTTATTGGTGCACTTGCATTTGAGTATACTGTTTTCTGGTGTTTTATTTAGTTTAGTGTGCTCCAAAAACCACACACTGTCTTTTTCTCCTGCAGAATTCTCAATTCCCCTGCTTGTTTTGTGAAGATGGATGGAGATTCATTTGGTTTCATTATAACGCCTGACTTGTTTATGGCCTGCCTTTGCAGCTCCTCTTGGCCCAATGTGGCCTGGTAAAGATGCTGGGGGCTGTGGCGTTGATGAAACATTCCTGTGTCCGGGGGGGTTTCTCTAGGAAAGCGTTGCTTGTCTAAGGGAGGGCAGTGAGGTGGCAGGACAAGAACCACAAGCAAGGCCACTGAAATCTAATTCCACCAGCTCTCCCTAGCTACAGAGTCCCCGTTTGAAAACTCTTGTGCGGTTGTTTGTTGGGCTCATGGGTAACCAAAAAAGGAAAAACCCACCCACATTTTGGTCTCATTTTCTAAAAATGGTTTTTGATGAAAACACTAAAATCCCCTTATGAAATGCTCTTTCATGTGCAAGTTGTGCACAGTTTAAGTTCAATGGCACCAATCCCAAATCTTCATCTGTACCCCCTCCCTACTTCGCCAAACTCCAGCCTTGGAGATTACTGCTTCACAAACCCTGGAGCAGGGATGCTGTCTGCCTGGTAATTTAATGGCTAATCCCCTGCCTCTTTCCTACAAATCTCTTCCCTGATAAAGGGGTTGCTTCTACATTAGTAAACATGGGAGACGTGGCTGCACGGGATGAAAATAAGACGAGAGCTGGTTGAGGAAAGGGGAAGCAGATGGATAACCAGTTCTCTCTGTGCACTTTTGGAAAGCCCTTTTTGCATCTTACATGGAGGGATTCAATTGAAGTGTCATATCGAGCATTTATGTGTGCAAACAGTTCTAAATTTATGTATGAGGGGAAATTATGTGTCATACATTTCTGTTCTTATTGGCCAAAGAGCATAAAACTCCTGGCTCAGTGTCTCGTGGGGTTAGTGGTTATGGTTTGATGATGAGCTGTTAATGCCTCAGAGTGTTGTACGTTTTAGAAATTCCATCTGATTGTTAATTTACATTTATTAGCTTTTTGTACCAAATAAGTTATTCTAATAATTACCATGCAGCTGCCATGACTAGACACGATGCCTCACTTGAAAGGAGCAGAGTTCCTTAGATCCTACTTCACACGCTTGCTCTGGAAGCGGCACGAACAGACTGCTGAGAAACCAAGAATGACAAGATCGTAGGCCGCAGTCCTCCCGAGAGTTTTATTAGGTTGCTAGATTAGGCCACGTGTTTGAATTCTGGTTTATGACTGGTGGCGGATCCCCTTTTATTTTTGAATCGATGCCTTCAACCTAAAAGAGCTCGGCCAATTTAAACAGAACACAAGGAAAGAACGCGTTTAACCAGTCAATGGAGCGACTTCAACATTTGGCAGCGATGGTTTTTCATTTGGTGACCTGACAGAGGCACTTTAGATGTCCGCGTGGATCTGATGAGGTGAGTGACAGGTCCCTGTCCTTACATGTCTGGCTGTATGTGAAACAGCCTGGTGTTCAGTCTAATGTCAGTCATGGCTGTACAAATAAACGGCTGTGGAATACAGAGTAGGTGTTTCATTTCAAATTCAATTTACACATGTCACGAGGCTAAAAATGTCTTTATAACTGTACACCTGCTATTTACCTAATTTACTTTCAACTGGTCCATGAAAAATCTCAAGTGACCTTTCTTTAATTGGCTTCTTTTTTTCATAAATGGCAATGATTGCATGTATTAAAGATTACATCTCTGGCATCTCCAGTCCTAATTATCCAATAATTCAGGAGACATCTCAGATCTAAATGCCAGTTAGCTTGATTGAATGTCTTTGTACTTGCTTTGAAAGTCTCCCGAAGCTTTTTCAGATTTTTTTTTTTTTTTTTTATTTGAAAGAATAGTCAGGTCAAGAATTTAATTAGTCATTAAAATCAGATTTTCTCTGTCTGGTTATTTTCCAGATATTTTGTTGGCAAACACACGTTTGAACGTTTTTGTGTGCTTACGTCTTAGCTAAGCCACAGAACAGCAGCTGGGGGTTATTGATAGTTTCGAGGCTGTGTCAGCTGCAGGTAAATCCTGTCTATACGGGTGAGCTAGCATAAATAATTTTACCAAGAAATAAACATTTAAGTTCAAACACGTGTTCACTGAGAAACCTTTTATTAGTTGCTATTTTTGATATATAATCGCTCACTCAGAGTTTACCATGAAGGCTAAACATGAAAATAAATTTTACTCCTATTTTCTTGCGTTAGCCGCAGAAAGAAAGACAAGGAAACACTTGGATTATTAAAGCCACACAGATTAACGTCACATTGAAAACTAACGTTCATGGAATCACCCAGCTTGGCTCGCAACATGGGAGGCTGTTGTTGGTTTGGAGAGAGCAGAGAATGTCTCAGCTAGTAGAAGCTAACCTTTAGCATTAGCAACTCCACCACACAGTAGAACTCCTTCATGCTCATGATATTTGTGGAGATAAAGCATTAATCTTGCAAAGCAAACGTGGTCAATGGTGGAGTTGTGTTGCTGTTAGCCAATCAGGGGCAAGATGTCCAAATATCAGGAAAGACTCCAAAACCTGAAGAGTTCAGCGCCACACTCCTCAGCTGTCCTGAAACGAGCGTGCCAGAGCTTTTTTCCCCACCAAGACTGACTCACAAGACTCATTTACTAGAGACCACTGCAAGTGTGTTGATAAAACGTGTGAACTTGGTCTCTAAGAAGCTTCTGGTGGGTTAAGTGTTAAATGAGGTAGCTGCTGTCTCTCACAGTCACTCTGAATTTCTCCAGCGTTAAATGTACAGTCAGGTGGCAGTTTCCTGGAGTAAAAAGGGCCTTTCGTTTTCTCTGTTCTGCTTCTTTCCCTGGCCCAGTACATTAAACACAGTGCTGTGGCTTAGGTGTGGCGTTTGCCTCTTTTGAAACTCATCCATCAGATTGACAGAGTGAATTTCTGCTCCACGCTTTGCTCCGAGTCAGAGGAAGAGCAAAGGGATGGCCAGAGAGATTGGTCCCAGAGAGAGATTCATGGGTA